ATATAACTAAGTGAATTTAGGAAAGCAATCCACATCTCCCCCAGCCCTTTCTTCATATGACACAAAAGTAGTAATAACCAACTTCATTATAAAACTCGAGCATCAGAATTCACATAATCATGTACGGTAAAAACTTACACACAATTAAACTTTTTCATGTTAAAGCTACAACTAGGAACATAACATAAAATAAACATTTAAAATCTAGTAAACATCTACTTCCCGGGCAAGCTAACCCCAATTTTTTCAATCACTTAAATTTAGGGTAATTTCATACATACAACAAAATTCTTTTCCATTTACGATTCATGCTTTATATCACCCAAATATTTCATATTACATCAATAACACCATCATAATATATCTTTTCATGCATAAGTATGGTGGCATGTATGTAAACATTTAAGTTTCAACCATGATATAGGAATGCTAAGACCAATCAACAACATTGCGTGGTCATATATCTTAAACGATTGCACAGATATATTCCAACAAAAATAGAGACAAAAGACATAGGGGACAAAGATAGAGACGCCAAAGAACAGACCCAAAAAAAAAAACAAATGGTAGGAAGGAGCTTAAGAACCACAATCACTACTAATTTCATAGTTGAAACAATACTTCAAGGAAAAACCCTCAGATATTAACACCACTTGCACATGTAAATTGATCAAAATTTACATATTCCATCCAAAATTAATTTGTCATTTTAAAAAATACAACCAATTTGTTCAAGTAAAGCCCAAAGATAACAACATAACATAAAATAAACATCTCATATCTAGCAAAGTAGTAAGCCCTACATCAAATTTTTTCCAGATATTTTCTCAAGGATTAGAAAAAAATAATAAAAGAATAGAGGGTTGCATAATTAAGACACAATCCCTTCTCCAAACATTCTTGAACTTTAAACAACAATGCATAGACATGAGTTAATATTGAAGCTTCATGACTTAGCAAAGATAAAGACCAAAAAGAACAAGACCACTGAGAAAAGAGTAGATGTAGGAAGAAATTTTAGAGAGATAAAAGAAGTATAAAGGAGAGGTATCGAAGAGCAAAGGAATGCAAAAAATGCTACCGATCAATCTCTCACCATAGAAGAACTTTTAGGGTATCATATGGACAACGAAGCAAGACCAAGCTCATTATTACCATGACTAGGGACCCCTTCATCACTTTAACTGGGCGAAACCACAAGGCATACGTAAGCGACAGTTGCGTAAAAATAAGGATGCGTTTAACGCAAGGACCAAGTTTTCACACCGCGTAACTGGGAAAAAGCTATGCCAAACGTGCCCTTTGATTGTAATATTTAAATTTCCCAATTGCTATATATTTACACATCCAAAGCCTAAACTTCAATTTTCATATACATATCACCTCATCTATGCATGTAAATCATGATATCTTTTTTGTAATGTGGAAGATTTAAGTCCTATAAATGAAAAAAAAAAAAAAAAAATCAAAGGATATGTGCAATATATGTAAATACATAGAAATTAGGTCCTATTTATATAAACTTCCCTTTTATTTTCTTTGGGCCCCATTTCTTTTCCTATGTCTCTTGCTGTTTTAATTTTTTAGGAAACATTCTTGCACCTCTTCATTTTTTCTTTCTTTCTCACATTCTCTCCCCCTTAATTTATTACAAACAAATTGGAGACATGTAGAAAGTTGAAATGACAAGTTTGCCTAAATTTATCATAATATTTTTATTCTTCCTTCACCTGAAAAAATAAACTTAAAAACAAATTTATATTGAATTAATCAATTTTTTAAATTCAAATATAAGAAATTTTCATATACGAAAAAATATTTCTTATGCATTACCAGTTATAAGTATTATATATATACACACATACATAAGACTGTCAAAAAAGCTCGTTGTTCGCGAACAACTCGTGTTCGGCTCATTCGTTAAGTAAACGAGTCGAACACGAACGAATTTTTAAAGCTCGAATTATAAACGAGCCGAACACGAACAAGTCCTTGTTCGCTCGCGTTCGTTCAGCTCTTTTTTTTAGATCGAAATAAAAAATATATATAACTATTTATATAACAATATATTACATATATTATTTATATAATAATATATTCTATATATTTATGTTTAAGTTTAAATCATAACACCTCATGTGACAATGTGGTTAGTACATTCTTTTATATATATTTGATCCAGGTTCGAATCCCACACTTTACATTTATTTTTCTCAATTTAAGTTTAACGAGCCAATTTCGAGCCGAACACGAACACAAATATTTTAATCGAGTCGAACACGAACACACTGTTCACGAGCCGATTTCGAACACGAGCTATTTCGAACGAGCCGAACACGAGTCAAGTCTGAGCTCGCTCAAGCTCGACTCTTTTACAGCCCTATACACACACACACATATATATATATATATATATA